GTCCACCGCCGCCATGTTGTCGCAAACGATGTAGACTTGCCCCTCCCATGGAAGCTGTAGCGCGTATATAGCTGCCCACATCACACCAAGAAGCTCGACCGCAGTGCTGTGGGAGGAACCATTCGCGTCGGTGATAGAGCGCACTGGCGAGGCCCGCGCAGCCACATAGCCCTGACACGCAAAACCCAAGGAATCCTGCATGACATGGGCCAACGCGAACGCCGCCAGCTCGGGGGGGGGGGGCGAGGTGCAGAGACGCATCGGCATATACATGATGCACGGCAGTGCCCGTGCTTGGACGAGGCGGGTGCACGCGAAGAGCAAGATCAGCAAGCGGGGTGCAACAGCATCCCGCGGTAGCCCCATGAGAGCCCAATCCGCCACTGTATTTGACCAAATAGCTCAGGAATGGTAGGAACATGCTGAAGCTTGCAGGTTGCAGGGCACCCTGTCTGGGGAACTGTATGACCCACGGACTCGTAGTAGTCGCTGGGCACAGAACCAGGGCAACGCTGCCGTTGGGCAGGTGCACTCGAAGCCATATCACAAATACCAAAAGAATTTTTTGATGTGGCACTGGTGCCAAACATGCAGTTGAATACATCTAGGGTAAACGGTCCTCTCGTTTCGCCCGACGGCGCTTGAGGAAGAACGGATGGCATAGCGTTGCACCCCCGAGCCTCTTCGCGGCGCTGCGGCTGCCCCGACGGCCGGTACCCTCTGGCACCCACGTTGGTTGCTGAGCAGCGCGCGCCGCCTAGAGCGCGTGGGCTACCCGGCGGTCGGTACTCTCCGGCAACCTCTGGCGCTGAGCAGTGCGTGCCGTCAGGGGCCGTGGTAAATTCCATGCTCGATGTAGGTGAATGTCCTGCACTATGTGAATTGCCGCCGACGGAGACCCCATTCGCGTCGACGTACGTGCGCAGCTCGACCGCAGGGGCGAAGCGCACTACCCTCTGCCGCTGCACATCACTGGAGTTGCCGGACGTCAGGCCCCCCCCCCCCCCCTGCGGGAGCCACTGGGGATATATGAAACCACGCCTTCTTGCGCGCCACCTCGGAGTTGCCCAGGTCCTCTGGCTTGCCACGACGGATGCGCTCCGCACGATCCTCGTCCGACCTACTTCTCGTAGAAGAGCCTCTCCGCTCCTCAGTCTTGGCATCACCCTTGGTCAGGTCGAAATGAGCTGGGCCGCACTGCTGCGACGTGCCAGGGACCCCAGATGAAGACGATGACCACCAATGTGAGGACGAGGCCGACGCTGCAACTTGCGGCGGAGGCGGGGGAGGAGGTGGAGGCACAGGCGTAGCTGCTGCCGCGGCCTCGGCGTCGATCTGCTTCTGGTACTGTTCGGCCTGCGCCTCCATTTGCCGTTTCTCCTCGAGCTTGTCCATGTCCTTCTGGTTCCATTCCTGCTCAATTTTAAAGTCCAAGTTTGATTGATAGTCATCGCTGCTGAGGGCATTAACATTCACTGGGTAGTCGCACGCCTCAGCCTTCTGATCAATAATACGTTGCTCATGTTCTGCTTGTGCTTCGTCTTGATGGCGTTTGATGACCTGTTGGTAATAGTCCAGTGAATCGAATGGCTCCGTAGGCCCAATCTGCGAACTGTCAGAGACTGGCCTCGCAATACCGCACCCAGCAGGCCGCGTGGCTTGTGACAAAATAACATGGGGGCTGGCACCTTGAGTCTGCGAATTGATCACCATATGAGACTCCTGGCCTTGCCCAAATGCCTGCTGTTGTGCGGCATCTGGATGTTGTTGCTGGGGGGTGCACGGTGGCGTTGGCTGCGTCTGCGGTATCACCTGCTCGCCCTTGGCAAACTGAACATATAGAAACTCAAGATTGTTGGACTGCATTCTGGATTCCGCTTGGACCACCTTGGGTTCTGACGCTTGTTGCTTTTGCTGGTCGAGGATCTGCTGTAAGGAGGCCGCGATCTTCACAAGGGCTTCTGACTGGGGCGCCTTTTCCTTGGCCTTCGTGGGCTGGCCCACAGGGGGCGGTGGCGGCGGGGGTTTGCCCACCACCCTGGATGGGCCAGCCGCCGGGGCCGCTGGGGCGACCGTGGACCGCGCCGCTGGCGGCGGCGGCGGCGGAGGGTGGGCGCCCGCTGTCTGGTCGACCTCCATGCGAGTATCCATGTCCTCGCTGAGGTGCTGGCCCCGCTTGGTGCCTAAGATCTTGAGCTGCTCCTTCGACTCCGACAGCTGTTTGAAGATATCCCAACGAGTATTAACCAGCTCGGCCAGCTGCTTTCAACCTTTGACAACTCTTCTTGGATAATACTCGCACGCTTACTGAGAGACTTTTCCTGCCCAGCGACGGGCAGCAAAGCAAGGAACCCAGTCTTCAGCACAGACACCTCGGATGTCTCAGAACTGCCGACTTGCCTGCAGCCCGCAATGAAATGATGAGCTCGCCTAGCTAGTAGATCCTCTTCCACTGTTTCTTCTTGAAGAGGCTCACCTGATCATGGTCAGATGTGTTTGG